TCCTTATGAGAAAATTATGTGATACAACTGAAGAGATTTTATAAAGCATCTTTGGAATTGTGACTTCATTTAAATTCATTAATTATTTTAACACATTATGTATGCATCAACATCGCTATTTATTAGTGCAAGCTGATGTTTCTCAAGCCTCAAGTGTACAATAAGCTGCTTCAATGTAAAAGCATTTTGTTGGCTTAGATTCAACTTGTCATCCACCAGCACAGCTAGGTGCTTTTCTGCAAAGATATTTTCTAGCTGGTTAGTCCTCAGCATTTACTAGTGATTTTATAGATCTGACATTTTATAGGTTTTATTTCTCCTCAGGTGCAGGACCATGTACTTTCGCCTTACTAATCTTCATGCGATTCTTCTCAGCCCACTCTCCAAACTGCTGAGGTCCGTCTGGATGGCAGCCTATCTGATGGATCTGCTACTCCTCCTAGTTTTCTGTCACCTGCAAATTTTCTGAGGGTGCCCTCTGTTGTGTAGATTAGGTCATTAATAAAAAGGTTAAACACTGCTGGCCCCAGTATAAACCTCTTTGATAAACCATATGTGAGTGCCCTCCAACTGAGCTTCACATCAGTGATAACAAACATTTAAGCCCAACAATTCAGCAAGTTTTCAATTTACATCACTGTTCATTAATATACATTGTACTTCATCAGTTTATCTGCTAGGGTACTATGGGAGACATTGCTGATAGCCTTACTGAAGTTAGAGTAAACAATGCTGACTGTTCTACACGCATCCAGCAAGCCAATCATCAGAGTTTATCAAGCTGACCGAGCATAATCTCTCCTTCATTAACACATATTGATTCCTCTCATGCAGGTCTTTTCTTTTTTTTTTTTTTTTTTTTGTCTTTAATTAGTTTGGAAATGGCTTCAAGAATTATTTCCTTCTTCAGTTACCTATCAAACCTTATCAAACCTTATCCTTATCAACTTTATACCTTATCAAACTGAAGGTATCTGGCCTATAGTTCTCTGTTTCTTCATTCTTGCACTTTTTGGGCACAGTAGTAGCATTTGATTTCTTCCAGTCCTCAGTCCTTCCCCCTAATTTCCATGAACTATCAAATACTATCATAAATGACTCAACAATGACATAGACACACATCTCCTGACATCTTTTCTCGATTTCCTGCTCATTGAGTGGTACCATTCTTGAGCCTGGTGAATCCTTAAAATAGCAATGTATTTTCAACAGCTTAAAATATGCCTGTGATTAGCCTCTTCTCCCAACTGCCATTCATCACTTCTCCCTTAGCTATGATAGTTGGCAATAGATACTGCTCAGCCTCTCCTTCAGGATATTGTATTCCAGAGCATACTCTGTAAGGCTGTAGTGAGCCTCAAAATCCAAGTTAGCAGCCTAGTAGTCTTTTGTCTTTTTAATACCATCTTACAGAGCTGACTTAGAACATTAATGGAAGGGACAACAGAAGAAAAGGAAGACAGACATCTAATACCTCATCACAACTCCAGAGTTAACAACATCAGTGAGATATTTCAGGTTGTATATTCTCTCTTCAGCATGCATCCCATGTAGCTTCTCTTGCTTTCCTTTCACTTTATCTCTGGTTCTTGGTAATGCAGGTTTAAGATTTACATGAAATATGACTTCTTCTTCCCTACTAACTAGGATCAGATTTCTTTTCCCCTCATGCCTGTTGGATACCTATCACAGTATCCATCATTCCTATAGCATTCCTTGGTTAGTACATCACTCCTACCCAACTCATTTTCTTGCTCTTTGCAACAATTCAAATCAGCTATCACATTTTGCAAATCATGTAATATCCGATGTATTTATTTTCAATACTTCTTATTAGATTTCATAATTGCTTGGTTACTGTGAGTTTTTGACAGAGACTGCATATGATATATTGATAAGGAAGATAACTAGCATAGTATTTATGTACTTTTTCTGTGTAACACCTTTGAATTTAGCTATAACACATCATAACCCATTACATGAACATAGACAATGGCTTTCCTATATAAATAACTTCTATCTTCCATCTTGGAATGGCTCTTTCCTGGTTTACTTAATCAAAATCCAAATAAGTATTTTTTAATACATTAATTTTTTCTCATTTCACATCAAAGAACCTTTCTGAATGCTGTTAATTGTCTTTGAAGATATGTTTAAGCTAAACAATCCACAGTTTAACTAACATTATTTAATCAGAGAAGTGTTTCAAAGAAGAAAAGAAAGAAAAATGGGATTATAATAATTTTTAGATGACTTAAATGTTTACAATTGAAATTCATTGCATCTCTGATTTTTGTGACTATTAGCTTATGAATATCCAATGTTTTCATTTCTTCTGACTTTGTTGCTAATCTCCTAATGTTTGTTTCTTTTAATCTTCTGCTCTTAAAGTCATAGAATTTCTGGCAAATCCCCACTTTCCTGTGAAAAATAAAGCGTCTATTTTGCATTGCCTCAGGAAGTCTATGTATTATTATTAATAGTAAGATTTTTAAATCTGTCTCATGACAATGAAGATGTTATTTCTGTTGAGCCCAAAACAGTCTTTCAGCATTTGACATTATCTTAAATAGTATTTGTTAAGGATGGATTAGTAGTAATAATAGAAGTATTACCATAGCACTTTTGAGCATTAATCATGGGTGAGAGTGACATTACATGAGCACAGAATGCAAGTTGGTCTTTCCTCTAAAAGCTTTGTGCTTTCATAATGTCATACAGACTAGCTGAGAGAGAAGTAAAAGGCATAAGTGAAATAGTGGTGACAAGTGTGATAGACATAATGAACATTACAGTTGTTAATTTTCTTAGGCATCCAAAGAGAAAAGTTCTAAGGTGTAAAAAGACAGAAAAAGAAAGGAATAAAATGGCCCCGGCAAGTAAAATAATGTAGAGGAACAAAAGAATTCAACAAAGAGAAGAGAAGAATGAGAACATTTCCCTGATGAATGATTACCATTTGTGCCTGGAGACCAAGTGTTCAAGTTCCTCCTTCTACAGGACATAATGAAATCTTGATTGCTGTCTTCACAGCTGCAATCTCATGGCAAAGCCACTGAATTCAGAGCTGTGACATTTTGATATCCATGCTCTTTTTAGAGTCTAACAGGAAGATTACTCTCCTGTGCTTATGGAAGGCATTTGAGTTCTGGTCTTTTCATCGCACATCTCCTGTTGCTATAAAATGAAAAACACAATACCCTACTTTTTCCTTTTAAATCTGTATCTGAATCTTCAAATCATTCTGAACTTGGCATTTTGGTGGAAAGATGAACTATTCTTTGTAAGGCAGCTGCTACGTTTTCCACTGTTTGCAAGGAGTTCTTTATTGAACAACACCGCACTGTTCTTCCCTGTAAAATGTCTTTAATGTGCTGCGTAGTCCACTATTTAAATTATATATATTTTCAGCTAGCAGGAACCACACAACCTCAGTCTGAGTACCTATCTTGCCCATCTTGCCCAGAAGTCCCATCTCAGGAAATCCAAATTTTTCTGTATCCTTGTTAAGAGAGGCCAGGTGTTCCCAGCGTGGCCTCCAGCCCATTTGGTTGCTGCATGTTTGCTTCCACAACCATCTCTTTTCCTCCTCATTCTAGTACAACAAAAGCTCTGAAAAGCATAGCTCCAGTCAGATTTCCTCAGCAAAATATATTCCGCGAGGTAGCAAGTGAGGGAATGAAACAGCAGCAGCTGGAACAGCCTCACCAAATTCCTCCCCTCTGCACCCAAGCCCACCACCTCAGCCAAAGCCAAAGCTTGCCAGCAGAGAACCCAGTGCTTAGACACTAGTACTGGTCTCCCATAGAAAATTCTGCTGCCAAGCTTCTGGACCAGCTTTAGGAACATGTTTTTAATATTCATTGTTCACTCTGTCTGTTACAGATGTGCACAGTACAATTATTATAATGCTTTGCATATGTGGTGTTATGAAATGTGTGCCTTTAAAGTCATGCCAGTTTTTTTTCCTGTAACCCAAATATATTATTTCTACCTATGTTCCAGTTGCTTAGTTTGCCACACGTTTTTTTTTTTTAAATTTTATTATAAAGTTTAAACTATCAACTATGTAAGCAATGCAACCAACAGAGAGCAGATCCATTTTCTTCATAAAAAAGCAGGTTTTTTTCATTTGCATGCTTGATATTTTTTTTGTGCTCCAGCTTCTCCACACGGACACAGATGCTCATACAAACATCTATTGACATAAAAATTCATATTTTATGAAAGAAAATTATTCCCTGGCTAGGAAGCTCTGCTGTATCCAAGCCGCCTCAACTCCAGCAAAAGATGTCCTTGCATGAAGGACCTTCAAGCTCAACCATTTCAGCTCATATCCAATAACGAAGCATTATTCCTTGCTCTAAAAGATCGTCTTTCACAGAACATGGCAGACAGTCGTCTGAAAGACATTGTACTTATTGTGTCCTGGTTATCCATTTTGGTTCTGTACTAATTGTGAGGTCCAATCAAAGCAGATGGTATTCATATCCCACTTACGGGCCTTGGTGGCTCTGAGACACATATAGGATCTCCTGGGATAACAATGCCTTCCTGAAGCAATTAAATGCTCAATGTGAGGGAGAACGAATGAGAAGCATAAGTGCAGGACACATATATTGTTAAATTACAGTCAGACACAGACTTTATGAAGCAGAAACTTATTGCTGCAGATCTCATTGCATTCAGATCTACAAACAAAATTCATCTCTTTAATCTCTCTTCTGTAATTTCCTCTCTACTTTACTATCCAGAAAACACCTTTCAATTCCTATTCAAATCCCCCAATAAACCAGAACACAAAATAATCAAGTTACTTCTTCTTCAGTAACTTGAGAGTAAGGTGTATATGGGTAATGATTTGAGGATTTTATTAGTCAGACATTAAAATATGTATGGGAACTGCTGAGTCACAGCCTGAACCTCTGATTGACCACCTGAGGCGAGCACTGAGTCAGCCAGGAGCACAGGTGAAGGCAATTCTCCTGTGCTGCCGGAAGCCTGGCTCCACTCCCCCTAGACTCATTTAAGAGCTGGCTACCAGTGAGGAAGGATCTCTTCTGGAGATCTGCTTTGCTGGAGTTTTGTAAGTGAGCCTGGGCTCTGGGTAAGCTTTCTATCTGTTCTCTTTTTATTATTGTAATCTGCTTTGCCAAAGTCTCTTGTTTATTTCATAATTATAACATCTTAATTTTCAGTGATTATACAAAATAGCATGAGCGTAGAAAGAATTTGTTCTAAATATATTTGTTTGATGAAGTTTCTTGAATAATATCTCAACATCTCAATTTAAAACCTGTACAAACCAAATAATATATCTAGTAGGGGTGATTTCAAGACCTGTCAAAACAAGAGGTAATATTGAGTCTTACAGTTTTCAATAGCATAATATGCTTTTGTATTGTCCTACTTGATTAATATATCTGCAGGAGAAGTGAGCTTTTGAAAAGCACAAAAGGGTCAAGAGGCTGTGTTAGATGAATGACTTGTGATATATCTACTGAAAAAAAAAAAAAAGAAATGCAACACTGTAGTTAGATTTCATAGCATATCTTGCAACCCTTGTTTCTCAGTCACCTGGATAGGAGAGATCCATAAGTTACGTTTTGCTCATAAGATGTAGGCTTTTTTTCAGTGGGAAAGTGGGCGTGCAGCTGGTGACAAACTGTAGGTATGTCCATCTGTGTCTCTTTGTAATGAAGACTCAAGATAGGTCCATGATATGCACTAAACTCAGGAGTTCAATATAGTTGTTCGCGAGTCATGACTGAGTTTCCAGGCTTTAAAGGGTTATTTTATTTGCCTTTACATGTTCTCCCTAATCTATATCCCTTCAGAAATGCACTACTGAATCAGCTGCAGCTTCCAGTGCTAGCTTCTCAGAATAGGAATAGAGCTCTAACAGTAGGGATATACACCTCAATTAAAAGTGAATCCAGTCCTGGGTAATTGGTAATATCAAGTGGGATGTTTCACAGCACCAAAACCAAATATATCTAGTCTTTAACTGGAAGCAAAGAAGTTAATTTGAAAGTAGCATCTTTCAGACATACTGAAACTTAACAGTAGGGAGAACAATGATCACAGAATTGTAGGGGTTGGAAGGGACCTCCAGAGATTGAGTCCAACCTCATGATGATTGAGAGGGTCGTGAGGTGCTAGAACAGGCTGTCCAGAGAAGCTGCAAATGTCGTGTCTGTGCAGGCATTCAAGGCCAAGTTGGATGGGATCCTGGGCAGCTTGATCTGCCCTGCCCATGGGAGGTTGGAACTACGTCTCTAGTTCTTTAAGGGCCCCTCCAACCTAAGCCTTTCTATGATTCAACAATTCTGTGGCATACAAAACTTGTCACTGTGGTGGTGGTCTTGTATTTTGTTAGGAAGACCAGCATCCAGTAACAAGCTCAGTTGCTTTTACTAAATTAAATAACGTGAAAGCATAAGCTCATGATTGTCCATATTGTTAGATATGAGCAAAATATCTGGCACTGGTTTTGGTCATGCCTACTTTCCCTTTCCCCAGCAGGAATGGCTTACAGGCCAAGAAGTATTCTCTGCAAAGAGTTTGGATGCAGCCATCCTGATTTGGAGAACAAGACAATTCAGTCCTATGGCCAAGAGCTTTGCCATTTCATTTTGCCTCCAGGATGGAGAAGAGCCAGGCTGGACTTTATTTCCTAGTGTAGGTATAGGCACTCATGTCTTTGGCATAGGAACCAGTAAAAACTGCAGGCCTTTGGTTACAAATGGAAGAATCACATATATCTAAAATGAATGTAATTATATTGCAGTTAAACAGCAAAAAACCATGGTGAATCTTAATTTGTTTGATGTTGTGATTTCATTCAGTAAATTGCCTAAAACTTCCACTATTTTTCTGAAGCACATCCAGGATTCTTTGCTCTGGAAATATCATATGATCAATCCTCCCAAGGAGATTTTCAGCATGCCCTCATTCTGACCAGGCAGGCTTGTTTTTCATGCTGCATTTTGATAATTCCACATCTTCTCCTAGCTGAACACAAGTAGGACAGCTGCTCAGAACTTAATTTAAAAGGTAAACTGACTTCTTTTGAATTTCAAAAAATCACAGGATGGATCTTCTTTTATCAGAACCAGCTTATCCGTCCCTAATTCAGAGAGAAAAGTAGGGGTCCGGATCAAAAGGCTTCAAATGTTTCCAAAGTTCAGGGCTATTTGGATCTCTGGTTTTGGTGTAGGCCCATCCACTACCTGCACTGCCCCTATATCACCATTTACCTATTCTCCCCCACAGACTTTTTTTTTTCTTTCCAGCTCCCTCCCTCTCCATCACTCTTCCAAGATTAAAGTTTTTTTTTTATTATTATTATAATCATAATTCCTATAAGAGATAAGAAGCTCCCCAGTGTATCTTTATTAATCCCAGTTAAGATAACATTTTGAAAGCAGACAGGGGAGAGATTTATAAAGAGCAAGAAAATGCAGTTGGAGATCAGCACAGCAGGGCCAAAATTTCCTATGCTGTCTGAGGCTGTTTACAAGGTAGTGTAAGTTAAATATTGCCCTATATGTGAAGTTACATGTAACCACTTTGTTGAATCTGAGCCTAGATTGTATTTACCAGTGTGTTCAATGTTGTAATAATGATCCTAGAAACAGCCTTCATTATATTTTGTCTCTTCTGGTTTATGTTTGTATGTTATGTTTTATTATTTACATTGTTAGTGTGTTATCATCAAGTTAAAAAACAGGCTGTTTGAATTCCCACCAATTTATTTGTATGGTTTTGTTATGGGCAAAAGAAGCAAACCATATATGTGAAGTCAGTAATTTATTATTGTTCTAATTACAGTCTTAATAGTCTCAAAGAAAAGTTACTGTTAATGCAGTTACTGTGACACTACACAGTTTAAATCGCGTAGCGCAGTTAAAATACATACACCAACTTTCTAGCACCTCCCTCCTTGTCTAGTGCCAAGCCTACACACCCACTGCCCCTCAGTTTCCTAAGGCTGATGGTATCTCTCAGTGTATGGCACAAGGTAGAGTTACCACAAGTCTTCTGTGTCCCAGGCCCTCTCCTAGAGAAGTATGATGTTAGTATTAAAGGCTTCTCCTTCACCTCTTGAATTCAGTGGGGGCTTTTTTCTGTTTGCTTACATGCTATGTACCTTGTTTCTCATTGATGCACAAGTCCATGTTGTATCTCCATGAGCTCTATATGGTGTGTTTTATGTATGTTGGTTACTTCTTGGTTCTCACTGTTGCCCAATGGACTAATTTATACACTGCCTAAGGTTGCTTTCATTTGCTGACCATAAGTGGCCCCAGTATATAGCCCATAGGTCTTCCACATCTTCCTTTGCCTGTTGTCAAAGCCTCTGCCCTCATCCTGTCTTCTCTTTCTGCTGCGTTTTCTTCTAGAGTAATAGATAAATGTTTTATTTCCACTGTCTAATAGTTAAGAAACTATATTTAGTAATAGACATTATATGAAGTGGGTAGCAGTCCCCTAGGTAACTACTATTACAAGCTGAAGCAAATCTCCTGGGTCTCCTGCCTTGGCTCTGGCTCTTTTTCTGACTTGAGCTTTCTGTGAGATCCTGAGCATGTTCCTTTGCCTTTCTGAATCTCTAAAATGGATAAAATGTGCTGTCACCTTGATAGAACAGAATGGAGAGGAAAGCAGTGGAAATGAATCAATCATTACTATTTGTTTAAATGAGAATCTCTGTCAAATCTGAAGAATTAATTTGGTCTGAGAGGAATGCTAAGAGGCTTAGGACAACCTCATCTGACAATCAAGTGAAGTAAATGTTTGTTCTCTACACAGAGCTTCATGCTGAGAAGCACTAGTGTGATGGGTTATCTTAAAGTGAGTCATCCTATTCTGTATTCATTTTTTTCTTAAAACTGAGAACATAATGATCTACCCAAAATGGGAGGATCACCTTTTAGATGCATAAACAGATTTTTTAAAAGTTTCATTATTAAACACTGAGGATATTAGATCATTCTTAGAGGCTAGATGAAATTTGATAAAGCCTACTTATTCTGGGCTAATCTTGTGGGGCAAAATGCTCTCTAATGTGCACCAGAAGCAAAGATTATAGAGAGCATAACATATTGAAATCTAAATTAGCCCTGCTTATTGACTGATAATATGTCCTGATCCTGAGGGAATGTGTCTAATTTATTATTTTTAAATGATTTGGATTCCTTTAGGATGAGCAATTCCCCAATTTATTTCCCATTGGCTAACTGGTAAGAAAGAACTCATTAAATACGAATGGGGTTGTTTTTGTTTTGAAAGATTGTTGCCAAAAAAAGAAATCATATTCATCCAGTGCTGTTTGGTTTGTATGCTTTTTCACACTGCAATATTTGGAGCATGCACAAAAAATAAAAATTCAAACATGAAAATAAGACTCATTTCACTGTTTTCTTGCAGTGAACACCTTCCCTCTGAGTCCTCCTCACTACAGATCAGGACAGCACTGCTGGTACAATCAATGGATCTTTGTTCCCAGCTGCTGTCAGAAAAATGGGGTAAAATAGAAAATATTTTAATGCAAACTCTTTCAGGGCAACTTACCCAAGGGGTTACTTGATATAACCTCTGGTGACCTAGTTTTTAGTAGGGGCTCTTAGCCCTGACTGTAGGCTTACATCCTACTATGTTTAACAGCGTGCTCTTAATGAAGCCTTAGTTACAAAAAAAAAATATCTCCTTGACCCAGACAATCTTTCTGCAAAGGTGTTGCCCCCATTGTCCCTATCTGGAGTCACCTCTTCTCCTCCTGCTTTTGTGCATTTCTCTTTCACAGAATCCTGAAGCTCCTACTCAGCCCAACTGTCACAAGGTACTATCTCCTTGTCCTCTTGACATGCTCATTACATATTTGTTGAACCAGATTCTAGCAAATCTTTAAAAGATGAGCATATGAAACACAAAAACAGATTGATCAGTGAATGGAAGATCAGTTTGCATTGCAGTTGTTTTTCTTCTCAAATATCATTCATCAATAACTCTGCACTGTGCACTTAGACCTGTATGAGGGATTCAAGTATTCAGCACCTTCCGGTTTAAGGACACTTCTAATAACTCAAATTTTCTATTTAGCTAATGGAATTATGCTTTTCTACTGTTGTTACAAATCATCAGTTAATGGAACAGTGTGGCAGCAATAGACCACTTCTTTTCATCATTGTTTAGACTTTGATAAAATTTTAATGGGAATGCTATGAAATTTATCATCTCTTTTATCGCTTCCCTACAAATTGGCCTCACTTCTCTCTCTGAACTTGGTTATTGTTCCCTAGTATTGCTTGGAAAAGAAGTACTTTTTTTTAACTCAGCATAACCCAAAGGATGATAAGGAAAAAGCTTTGACAAAACTTGACCATCAGGTCATACATGAGTATCACCCATTTCCCACTCCAAAACAAAGTTCATTACATCTGGCAGAGTCTGCAGGATGCACAGGATGGTTCTCAATGATATGTATTTCTGCTTGGAATGAAGCGGTACTTGGTCAGGAGTGAAAGGTACAGTTTCTTCTCCTTGTACTCTGCTCTGAAGTGAAACAAGCTACAGAGTCCAAACTAACCCACCTGTGACAACCAACATTTAGGTAAGGACTTAGTCTTGTCAATTTGTTTTTGGAATAATTGGAGTTTCTTTCCTGGTGAGATGTGATCACTGTCAGATTATAATGCCAGCTCCAAAACGTGGGGGTGCTTTGGCAGATGGGCCTGGCCATTCCCTGACAAATGGCAGAAAAGGACTGTGAGAGCCTTGCCTGAAGAAGCAGCAACTTCCATCCTGAAGATCAATAGCTCTCTGTTGTTTTTTGTTCCTAGCCAAGGATCACTTCTGTATCTTTTGGAGGTAGAGAACCAGAGATTTCAAAGTGCTATGATACATACCCCCTAAAGCCCAGGGGAGTGCTAATGGGATGGAAGGATATTCTACTCAATTTTTTCTCTGCAACAAGTTCTATGTTGCCTTTCATTCAAATGAGAAATTTTAAAATTACAGTACTTGCAGGTGAAATGTGAAGAAAGGTGAATGCAGTGGCAAAGGTCTGAATGTTTTGCACTGTACTGGCAGATACATGGCCTACAGGTTGTGTTTGGATGTAGTCAGCAATGCAGAAGCTATGGAAAGAGTACAAATAGAAAAGCATACAAGAATCCTTCCCTCGGTGTACCCTTCTATCTTCTGGCACTGTGCAGTTTAAGGGATTTCTCAGCCAGCGTTCATATCCACATGTTCATGGAGATATGCAAAAGTGGCTCTGAAAGTAATGCCTCCAACTTTATTATGCTGGCCCGCAATATCATAGGCAGATGTTAGTGGTATGACAGTACAGGCCAAATCTTTGCAAGAGTATTCCATTACATTTTGTTGCCATACAGCAAATGGCTGTAGAGGGGCAGTCTGACAGAATGATGTGACAAGGAAGTGCATCTGAAGCAAGGTCATGGAATTGAATTCCTGCATGTGGATGAAATGGAATCCATTGACATTCATTGACACTTGCTGAATGTTTACGGAGACCAAGCAGTGGATGTGAGAACAGTGAGATCATGAGTGGCTCAGTGCAGCAACAGTGCCATCATAGTACTTTTGAAATTATAGGTCATCTCTGCTGGTACAGATTTTTATGAGTGCAGCATGCAGGCTCCTGTTCACCATTGGTAAAAATGCATAGCTAATTGTGGTGACTAAGTTGAAAAATAGTTTGCTCTATTTAATAGTGTTACTGTGCTCTTTGTATCTTTTGTACTTTCCATACAAATAAATAGGAGGTATTACTTTCCGAGCAACCTACACATTTCTTCTTTCCATTAATTTGTCTCTTTGTTTTTCTGAACACAGAAGTACTCTAGGGCTCATAGTAATAGAGTTTGATGGGTTCATTATAGATTGGGTACGATGATCAGTGCATAAAATTTTCTGACATAAAAGGCCATAGATGAAGAAAAGAAAGGTGTATTTGGGCTTGACAATGTGTCATTTTATCTCTTAATGCAATTGTTTGTTTTATTCACACAAGTCTTTATTGCCTATCATAAAAGATTGCTAAGAATACTGCTATAAAGACAAACAAACTGCAAATATCTTAAAAAGACCTGGGCTTCCTCCTTTTGTTTAGTAAAATTGCATACAGTTTTTCTTTCTTCTAAAAAGCACAGTTTCATTCATAGAAGCACGAGGTCTTAGTATCAAATAGACAGCTTCTGTTTATGCTAAACTTTCTGCAACATGGGAAAACAGAAATCTGTTTTGCAATTGTTCACCAATTTAATTTTGATTTTATAAAACCCAAACTGGTTATTCCCAGTTCTGTCTCTGTGTTTCCTGCACAGAGTGTTTTATCTTTGACCTGTTTAAAATAAAGATGTCCCATATAAGCTTTCAAATTTAAAAATTTCCATTGACTACCCCCAAACTTACTACGAAATCTCAGAGCGCTGTATTAAAGACTCACTCACTCATGTTTCGATATCGTAAAGTGGTTATAATAAAAGCTGTTGAGGTTTGGGGTCAAGAATCCCTAAGGTTCTTATTTTGATAAATAATTTTGGCAGCATTATTCATACCATAAACTATGTTTAAAATTAAATGCTCCAATTAAATCAACAACTTCAGTTTGCCCTCTAGGATTGTAAACAACCAAGAAGTGATGTGTTTTTCCTCTGTCCACAACAACAGGCTAGAAACACAGAGGGAGCAACAATAAAGACTGTTGAAAGGCCTTTCTGATAAAAGGTCTGGTTTTAGTTTTGTACTGTTACATTCTGATTTGCAACTCTGTGGTCACTCTTACCAATTACTAGAAGAATTGCCAACAAAACAGAGGTTGCACAAGAACTTTTCCCACGCTCATTTCTCCTACTCTGTTTCAGAGAACCTCATCCTTCATCACCTAGCTCAGTTGTGTCAGGAAGAGATGTTTTTACCACCCTCAAGGCAATTTCAAGATTTTCCCAGAGATTACAGCTTGGAAGCTTATTGTTTATTGGAGACCTACACTACCAAAAGTAGCAAAAAAGGAGGATAACCCCACAGAAGAAATATATTCTGTTTCCAGAATAGCCTGACTGGTCCACCTACTATCCTTGCTGATCGTTATAGTGTAAAGATGCTTTTATTAAACATAATGACATTAAATGGACCTGATGCGATTTAACACATTTATGAGAGTCTTTCATGTTTCACTGTAGGTGGTTGATATTTAAACCCTAGTCCTCCCTGAACCTGAAAGCATTAATAATCCCCTTCTCTTTGGCCCATGTGCACTCTCATTACAGTTGCTCTTTATAGTTATCTATTTTCTCTTAGGCCCTTATGCAGAGAAGAATCCCTATAGAGGAAGAAGCTTAAGCACTTGATTAACTTTAAATACGTTGAAGTCAGTGCTCAAAGTTAAGCAGGTGCTTAATGCTTCCCTGAATCAGGGCCTTACAGTCTAGTGTTTCTGTCTCTATACTGATTCAGAAAATAATGATATGGGATTTGATTCTCTTCTCAACTTCTTTGATACAAATCAGGAGGACTCTATTTAAAGAGCTTTTTTCCATCTTCACCTAGCATCTCACAGAGCCATCTAGGAACCAGTACAGAATAGAAGAATTTATATATATTTTGTATTTACATTTGGAACAGTCAAAGACATGTGGTATCTTCTGAAACTCTGAACCACTGGTAGCTCCAACATCAAATTAGAATCATAGAATCATTAGGTTGGGCTTGAAACATCAAGACCAAGTATCCACCCAATGCTACAAGTTCACAGCTAAGACATGTCCATAAGCACTACATCCACATGTCCCTTAAATACCTCCAGGGACAGCATCCTCATCACTCCCCTGGGCAGGCCGTTTTGATGCTTAATTGCTCTTTCCATTAAAATATTATTCCTGATATCCAG